AACAAAAAAAAAAAAAAAAAAAAAAAATGCTAAATGTAAACTAACATACATTATAATAATAAAACCACAGCTATTCTGCTATTACCTGCTATCTTAAATTCCTGTATATTTGTCATTTGTCAAACTTTACAACTGCTTTTATTTGTTTTGTTTTGTTTTTGGTACTGGGGATCAAACTTGGAACCTTGTGGCGGAACCACTGAGTTAAATCCCTGGCCCATGCAACTGCTTTTTTTAAAAAATCACAAAGATTTCAGATCGATTGAAGGAAACATCTTATTGTGCGTTAGGACATCACACATAGCTTAGGGAGTGAGCCTAAGCGTGGAGGGCAGACATACCCGTGATTTGCTCTTGAGTGTCCGGGTGGAATGTCAAGTTCTGGGTTAATTCGTCTGAGGAGGCAAGAGCACAGCAGCTTGCTCACCTTTGCCACCTCCGTGCAGCCCAGAGCCCTCCGCACTTTTCCTTCCTCCTTTCTGTTCTCCTCCCTGTCCTTCATGCACTGTGGTTTACTAAAGCACTCGCAGAATCAAACAGCAACAAGGGAGCCAACCCTGAGCGCAGCTGGCTGCCAACTCCTCCTACCACCACCCAGTGGTCCCCAGGGCTCTTCCCTCTGCACCAAGGAGACTTTGCACTTTGTCCTCTAAGCAGTGTGGTGCAGCCACCACTTACGGCAGCATTTACATTGTATTAGGTGCCCCGGGTGCCTAGAGCACAGGGTGAGCCATATACAAGTCTACACCATTTATAAATAAGAAGAGCCTGAGTGCTCATGGGGTTTGGTCTTAGGACCAAATCTGAGGCAGATCTTGAAACGAGTTCCTTACAGATACCGAGAAATGGCTGTGTAAAGAAGCATAAGACAGCTAGAAACAGACAGTGACTATGTATTTCCTATTAGAGCTTAAATGTATCTAGCTAGTCCATCAAATTGGTAACACTGTGCAATAGTTTGTGGAAGTCAAGGTAACATATTTTGAAGACCTACCTCTGTACTACTGTTTTATTTCACACCTAGTTGAAATTGATTCTCACAATTGAGCGAAAAATATCTTTTACTTTCCTCACTTTAAGCTTGAGAAAAGTGGAGTCACATAGCTAGCAAATTCAGAAGTGGCCATCAGCCAAGTTTAGGTGACCTTCAACTGTGTTGCTGCATGGCTGTGGGGCCTCATGTCTTCAGGCTGATATGACCACAGCTGATGTCATCTTGTTCAAGACCACGCAGGCTTTATATCTTACGGAAAGGTCCGTTCATGGTCGTGGGTCATAAATGTGTCCTATCAGTGGGATTCATTGGAATACCACCTCCTTCCAGCAGCCACATGTGCTCTTGAATAGTGATTTTGACCCGTGCTTTTTGGACTTTTAGTGGATATCTGCATATCAGTTGCCACACCACCAGCCCTGTATCCAGCACCATGTTTAAAGCAGCAGAGTCCCCCAAAAGTCCCTATTTCTGTTTCCATCTACCTCAGGCCTGGAAAGACATGAGTTTATTTTGAAAGGTTTTTCTATTTCCTTCCCATAGCAAGGACCCTTTGGCGATAAGATTTTGTATTAGTTTTTCAGATCAGGGAACATACTAAGCAAGTCAATCTCATTTGATGAATTAGTGATTATACTTTAATAAACCTTTAAAAAGTATCTTCTTTCATTTCCGGTACATAATTATGAAAAATATCCAAGTATGACAAAAAACAAAGAACATAGAAAGTGAAAGCCACCAGTGAGTCCACCCCAGCTAGTTGTGTAGTGCAAATATTGGAACCCTTGGTCCCTTAACCCCAAGGAAACAATAAATTATTCTCCCATTGTTTCCTAGAATCCCACTTCTTTCAATAAGCATTGTTAATCAAAATTGGCAATTCCTGACCACTCATGAAAAGAGAAGAAATTTGAATTTTCCAGAAAACACCCAAGAGAGGTATAGCTGGGTCAAATGAAAACTGTTTTTTTTCATCTTTGAAACAGTCTGCGGACTGTTTTCCACTAACGGTCTCAATAGTTTACATTTCCACCGATAAGTAGAGGGGCTCCCTTTTCCCCACAGCCTCACCAGCCTTTGTTGTTCTTTGTGTTTTTGAGGACTGTCTTCCTCACTGGGATAAAATGAGCGTATGGGCCCTTCTACAGTGGCACAACTTGCAACTGCCAAACCGCGGAATGCCCAGATGCCCAAACACTGATGCACCAGTACAGAAACTGTGCTATCTTTACAGCATATAGTATTATTTGGCCAGGAAGAAGGATACACTCAAGCAATTTTTAGGAAATGGGCGGAACTTGAGATCATTCTGCTAAATGAAATAACTCAGACACAGAAGGTTAATTATCCTATAGTTTCTCTTATATGATAAACTCAAAATATCAATAAAGAGTAAAAAAGGTGAGATGGTAGGAAAGGGAGGTAGACTTCCTGGAGACAGGGAAAGGGAACAGGGGAGGAGAAGAGGAATGAAAAGGGTATAGAAAAATGATCAAACTGCAAGAGCTATCTGTACCAATTTTCCAAAATAAATACAGTCATTATATCAAACACACACCAGTCAGAGGGGAAGTCACCACTTCGACTGCCTGTGGAGTGACTTGGGGTTAAGTGCAGAGGCCCCGGGCCAGTGATGGTGAAACCCTTGCTTTCAGTGACATGAACAGCTCACTGCGTGACACACGAGCTATACCTCCTCTTTGTTTTTCGTTTTCATTACTAAAACCTAAGACCTCTCACTGAGTGACAAACCCCAGCCTTCCTTTTTTTTCTTAGAGACACAGTCTCACTAAGTCACTCAATTGCCTGGGCTTGAACCTGCAATCCTCCTGCCTCAGCCCCCAGAGGCCTGGGGTTATAGGCTTGCATCACCACCTCTGGCTTAGAGCCTTCTTTTATATATGTGAAAGAAAAGGAGACGGGGAAATCAAATCCTCCATTTAAACAAACAACCACCACCTAAGTCCTAGTCCGTGGGGGAAAGGACCTTCTTCTGTTTGAACACAGGGTCACTGCTGGCCCCACATGTATGTTTCTTTTCCTGGAAACAAAATACTAATCACATGGATTGCCATCTGCTGCACAGAAACCCAATAGCCAATACTTATACATTCTTCAGGTCTGGAGGCAACCAAGGCTGGAGTCCAAGTATTCATTTTAATTTTTTGTTTTAGAAACAAGCAGAAATAAAGCCAAAATTCTGGCTTTGTTTATTCTCCTTATTTCACTTCTGGGTCTCCTGTCACCCCCTGGTTTTTAGCTCTGGTCTTATATGGAGAATTCTTTTAACATGTATCCGTTTAGCTTTAGTACTCTGCTTCTTTGTACATGGGAGACTTTCAACACTTCGAATCCTCAGACCAGTCCCCTGCCGCTCCCCTCCTGGGGCGCTCAGTCCTGCCGGCCCTCCAGGCTGGCGCTGGCCACGCTGTAGATGCCCCGAGCGAGTCTGCGGCACTCGGCGCCACCATCGGCTGCCTGGCGTGTCACCTACACCAGTCAGGCCCTGTCCCCTGTCTCCCTGCCCCCCACACCCCAGCGAGTGCCTCGGTGGGTGCGTTCCGGGGACTTGGAGTACGGCCCTCTGCTGCCCAGCCCAGCAGGAGCCCACCCCTCTCGGGCCTCCACCGGGCCCTGCACTGAGGCAGCCACCCTGACTGCACCTTCTGATGACCTCTGAATTAAACCGTGAGGCAGAGGCCAGCGCAGCCTCGGATTCCCAGTATACTCACTACACTTGAAAAGCTGCTGCTTTTAAACATAAGCATGTATGTCCCATGAGGCCGGTGTGAATCCCAGCTGTGCCAGGTAGCAACTGTGAGGAAAAAGGCTCAGGGCGGCTTGTGCCTGGGTCACAGGGCAGTAAGTAGGTAGCGGGGCCATGCGCTCCGAAGCCCATTCTCCTGTCTACAGTGCAGTGCAGCCTTGGCACAATGCCTGGACTGCATTTTAAATTGTGAGGAAACCTGATGTGTAGCAGCC